TATAGTTTTTTTAGAAACGTAAATTCTATTTTGAATTCAAATTTTTTCAAAATGAGAGACTTATCCCCTCTTTAAAGCAACGCTTACAATGATTTTTCTTGAAACTTCATTTTTTGAATGAGGAACAGGATTTTTGACAGTGAATCACTAAAGTTCATACTAAAAGCAAAATCAGTCGATTATTGATTGGACAAGAAGAGCAGGAAATGAAAAGGTATTGAAATGGTTTCTCCATTTGTCTGGCATTTAGACTAATCCAATTAAGACTGATAATTTGATTATGGCTGAAGTTCAACTAAAGTCTGGGTTATTCGAGACAAAAACGGAAATATTTTCGACATTAATCGATAATTGACCGATCTACCGTATACTACTCTTAACGTGTGGATGTTTGTCGTTTACCATTTTCAGCATTATTTATCTCGCTGTTTTTCCTCATTCTCGCCATACAAAAGGTTTTGCATGTATTTATGAGAAAATATCAAAAGATTATTATTTCTAGAAAATTGAGCACGCCATGACAACGCGACAGCACGGTGCCGAGAAATGCCGTTGCTGTCCGTACGGGTTTCATATAGACGTCGGTTTTGTAGCATACGCAGAAGATGTACGTAAAGGTGGACAAAATCGTACGCCTACATTGAGCCGTAAACATGGCGATAGACTGATGAGTCCATTGGACAGTATATTCAGGTGAGCTTTTTTTGGTGTCGCCACGCCCATTTTTGTGACGCACCACGCCCATTCTGGGAATTTTCGGGAAACCCAAAAACTGAAAATAATTTTCAGCGACTCTCTGGAAAATATTCTCAGCGATTTTGATGATGCTCTTGGCGTCACACAAGCAACAAAAGTGGTAAGTCTACAGTAACCTTGATCAACCAATCAGCGCGCTATGGGAGTACTGTAGGATATAGTGTATTGCAGAATCGGACCCTGCCCCGAGAAACCCCTGAAACCACCACTTCAAATCCTCGACGAATACAAAATGGCTACGCTTCGGATTATACTGGTTATTACTCATCGTCAGGTTATTAACTAATTCAGTAGAAAAGTCAATAAAATCAATAACCGCTATTTCGACAGATTTTTTGGAGCTCTGTCAGGGAGAAAATAATTTGTATTTGAAATTCCACCAAGTTTTAGTTGGCCAAGGACTTGATCGTCGAACCGACTCAAACTCTGTGTTAAACCCGCGGCCGTTTGCATTAGATCTAAGTAAGATATTGATTTATTGATCAGTTCGATACATTTAATGGAGTTTTAGGCGCTCCTCCAAAACCTCCACATCGAGCAATGACCAATGGACGAGCTACTCCATCAAAACAGCCGACATCAGGTTAGTTAGCAGGCCCAGAGTGGTTTAAACATGGCACGGGGTTGGCGCGGCGC